TATTCTATTGCCTTTGTAGAACAGGCTTGTAAAAAAGCCACCTATATCCAGTATCAGCAACCTAAAAGTATTGCCATACTTCATAATCAATTAAGTCTTGCTAACAGAAAAACATTAAAGCTAAACATTTGAGAATTTAAATCTCAAGTTTTTATTTGATCGCATTTCTGTTCTGAGACATAAAATTAGTATGTTTCTATGCAGTAAAAGTCAAAATTGTCCTTAACATTTAATAAATATTATTTAGTGACTACAGTCCACATGTAAGCTCTTAAAAGTTTCTTTAACTTTTTTATCCTTCACATTTTACTCATAGTGTTAATTAAGTACCTCTTGAACAAGTAGTACAAAGTAAAGTGTGTCCGCATGTGGACAGGAAGACTAAGTACCCTCAGGTCTCTTTGAAAAGGAGGTTAATTGCATTTATGAGAGCACAGCCTCTCCTGGTTTAATCGCTTTCCAAAGGCCATATCTCTTAATGTCACTCTAATGGGAATTATGTTTCAACATATAAATTTGGGAGAGCACAGACATTCACACCATAGCAGTTATGTATCGTGCTTTGTCTACAGGTTGATTATAAAGCTGAAACTTATACAAACTGAGCTAAATAAACCTTTCTTCCTTTAAAAAAAATAAGTCATACATATGTCATAGACTTGTTTGTTACAGAGTCATTTGTCTCTTATTAAAGTTATTTGATACAGCTTTTTATGCTTGGAATTTTTAGAGGTTTATTTTTCTTTCTCATTCTCTGCCTTTATCTTGTAACCTTAGCAAAGTACTATTTATTCCTTTTTTCAGTATTTTCCCAGTATATATATTTCTAATATTGATTAGTCATTTGCTAGGCTTAAGCATAACCATCACCTACAAGTTTTATCAGTATTAATTACCATTTCTTGGGTTTTGTATTACCTTCTTCTCAGTTTATACCCTCAGTTTGCTTGAACATCTTCTCAAATAAAAGACTTAAAAGAGAAGTTCTCTAAGTCCTTAAAGTCAGAAAGTATCCTCATACATTTTAATTCATTACAGAAATCTTGGATGAAAATCATTTTTTTCATAGAACATGTCACTGAGAATCCCATGTCACTGAAGAAATCTTATGTCAGTGGTTCCTGTGCCTTTGTGTGTGACCTGTTTTTTTCTTTCTGAAAATAATCTACGATCTTCCTTTTGTCTTTATAGCCTGTAGTTTTACAGTAGTGTGCCTGGGTATAGGTCTTTTTATGTATATGTGTGATTATCCTTGCCCTACACTTAGTAGATTATAATCCTTGCCCTCCAGTTTAAAGGCTACTTTCGCCCTTTGGCCCTATAAAATTCCCTTCTTTTTTTTTTTTTTTTTTTTGGTTTTTCTTGGTACCGGGAACCGAACTCACGACCTTGCGCTTGCCAGGCAGGCGCTTTTGCCACTGAGCTAAATCCCCAGCCCCAAAATTCCCTTCTGATCACACTAATTTCCCCATTTCCCGTAACTTCTGAGCTGGGAATGTAGCTCAGCAGTAGAGATACTTGCACATGGAAAAGGCCCTGGGTTCAGTCCACAGCACCACAAAACAAAACAGAAATCCATACACACAGAACAGCTACTTCCTTTTCTTTCTTTCCCATTCTCAAATCCTCAGTATATTGCACCTCCTTTTATTTCTGTTTTACCTTTTAGGAGGTTTTTCTTAGTGTTTGTTTCAACTCCTGTATGAAATTTTCATTTCAGTGATTTAATTTCTTTTATAGTTTTTGTAGGAGTTTGCTGCTTTATGGCTACGGTATTATCTAGTGTCTTAATGATGTTAGAATGTAAATTCTCAGGGCCGGGGATATAGCTCAGTGGCACAAGCACCTGCCTGGCAAGCTCAAGGTCCTGAGTTCAATTCCTAGTATCAAAAAAAATAAAAAAGAATGTAAATTCTCCTCTCACCTGGATTATTTCCACTATCTAGGTTTAGTTTTGCTCATTATTTATTGAGTTTCTTCATGTGTCAGGTGTTCCTCAAATGAGAGGTAATCCTTGGCCAATAGTTCATACTCACGAAGTATAATAAAGATTGGCTAAAAACCCTGTGTATGAAAATGAGGTTTGCCACTGGACAGGCTTTGCTTTTGATAAGTAGGTAAACAGTCAGCTGCTGTAAGAGAACAGTGCACCGTCACCACCTTGTGGTGTGTGTGTGTGTGTGTGTGTGTGTGTGTGTGTAGGCCAGAATGGGAAATGGGTGTTGAGCACAGGGGCTTAAAAATAAATACACGTCTGTATGTTGCCTGGCTCTCTCTTCAGGATGGGGAGAAGTTGACCATTCCAGATAGTTAATTCATCCCTCACTTCTTTCTTCAGTTGTTACCTGCATTCTCCAAAGTCAGGTGCTTCTGGTTTCGTCAGCACAGGGCACCTGTTTCTTTGTCTGCAGTAACCTACCTATCCATAAGACCACAACTTTCTATCCTCCTCTTCATTAGTCTTTGTAGTTTCGTCAGTTTTAGTGTTCTAGAAATTAATTGAGTTCTACTGTCTATTAATTGCTTTCTTCGTTCTTTACTGTTGAATTGTACTAGTTGTACTCCTCTCTCATTTTCCTGGGCTTTTTGGAGACAGAAAGAATTTTAAGTACAATCCTGTGTCAACCATCTTTAGAGTCCTGGATAATACAATTGAATCTTTATAGCTTAGTTTTTTAAGTCAGTATTAAGTTGTATGTAAGTAAATACAGGAGTGGAAAAAAAATAGACCTAAGGCCCAACATGTTATAAGATAAAGAAGTTCTTAATAACAAAAAGGAAAAATACTACTAAACAACTCTCATTCTGTACATAAAATCATAAAAGATGCTCTGTTTTCCAAAGAATGCAACCATGAGAGCATACATCACAGGTGATTTGTTGTGTTTCATTAATTTTAGAAAATTTTTGACCATTACTGCCTCAAATATTTTTCTGCTTTGTTTTTGTTGTCTTTATCACATCATGCTGTTTAGAAGATGTTATCCCACAGCTCATTAATTCTTTACTCTTTTCCACCGTTTTCTTTGTGTTTAATTTGTGTAATTTTCTATATTCAAGTTCACTGGCCTTTCTAGTATGCTAATAAGCCTGAAAAAATTCTTTATATTTTATCCTATATTATTTGTTTCCAGCATTCGACCAGTTTCTACCTGCTCAAATGTTCCATCTATTTCTGCATGTTGTCCACTTTTTCAGTTAGTTCCTTTAGCATATTAACTATAGTTATTCTTAACTTCCCTGTCAGATAGTTCTAGCATCTAGGTTACTCCTTAATATAGTTCTATTCTTTATCTCTCTGGGCTTTCTGTTCCTTTTATATATATGTCCTGAATGCCAGACCTTATGTGATTATATGCATTTTCATTTCAATATTTGTATTATATTCATTTTCATTTCAACTTTTCTATGCTGAGATGGGTCCCCATTTAATTCAAAATCCTTAATATAGTCAAAAAGCTTTATATAGTCTGATCTAGAGCCAATTAGTAACTCATTTTGGATTTTATGGGTCACATAGTTTCTGTCATAACTACTCAACTCTGCTGTTGAAACATGAAATCAACTAAAGAAATGAGCAAGGCTGTATTTCAGTAAAACTTTATTTATACAGTAGGCCAGTTTGGCCCATGAGCTGTAGTTTCAGTGACCACTGGTTCAGAATTTTGTTCTTGCCTTCCTCCTGTGTCCCAGTTTCTTCTGCATTGTCACGTAAGCACCACAAAAGCAGATGTTTTGGTCACTGACTTCCCAAGTCACTTGCAAAATACCTGACACTTAGTAGGCCCTGTATCAGTCAGTGCTTACTAGAAAAACAAAGTTAGTACAAGATATACAAATACATAAGAATTTATAAGATTAACTTACAATGCAGATGATGGTCACCTATAGAGTAAGATGTGAAAGAGTGCAAAAGATCTGTGTGCACTGGAGATCCGAAGGCTCTAGTCATACACCTGTCTTGTCCCCTGCCAGTCCATATCAGGAGGCCAAAGCTAAAAGGGTCTATGCCAGAAGCCAGGAGATGATGTCCCAGGTAAAAGGTGAAGAGTGGAGCTTCTCTGAAAACACAGACCAAGCCTTCCTTCTTCATTTCCGTTACTCCATTCAGGCTGCAAGACTATTGGTTGGTTTCTGTCACTCACACCCAGACTGGGTCTTCTGTTTTAAGTAAATCCTTTCAGCCACACCCAGAACTTTGCTGATCTAATTTAGCTGGGTGTTTCTTACTCTAATCGACACAATCAGTTATCAGACTCCCAGCTTATTAAAAGAATGGGTGAGTAAATTATATTTGGAATGTGTTTCTTAACAGCATGTAGTTAAATTTTTTAAGTCTTTGCTGATCTAATGTTTCAGTGAATACATTTAATTATACTGTATTTATTGTAACTACTAGTACATTTGGAATCATTCCTGCTGGGGTATTTGGTTTAGTTTTCTATTTCTTTCCTTTATTTCCTCCCTTTGTCCTCTAGGTTAACATTTTGTCTTTAATTCTTTTTATTTTGTCTTCTAACAAGGGATCAGATGTGAATTAGCATTTGGTAGGTTAATTAACTAGACTAGAACTTTCAGAAAAGTAATAGGCCAAAAATACTGTTTGCCAGAAAGTGAATTTAAACCCTAAAAAAAAAAACATTTAAAGTCAATAACATTTGCTTAATTTTTTTTGAGACAGGATGTTGCTATATATAGTTCAGGCTGCCCATGAACTAACTATATAGCCCAGACTGGCCTCAGACTTCCAGCCTTAGCCTCCTGAGTAGTGGGATTACAGGCATGTGCCACCATGCCTGTCTTAATTAATTAATTAAAACAAATACCAAGTTTTTTGAAATTGTCAGTGTTTAAATTTACAATATTTTCTTTTAGCATAGCTTTGGGATTCTTGGCAAATTTTTGTTTATCACAGAAATATTTATTTCTTTTTCCAAGTTTGCTTAAAGGTTAATTGACTAAAGTGGGCGGGTCCTCATGTTTACTAATATGTGTTGCAGCTCTATTGGTACACCAGAAGGCCAGAATGGAACGACTGCAAAGAGAACTTGAGATTCAAAAGAAAAAGCTGGATAAACTAAAATCTGAGGTCAATGAAATGGAAAATAATCTAACTCGAAGGCGCCTGAAAAGATCAAATTCCATATCCCAAATACCTTCAGTAAGTCTTATGTAACTGTTATGACCTCTGTGCTTGAATATAAGAATAGGCTGTCTGCCATAGTGTAAAAACTTGATCTAGCTTCTGTAAATACTTAATTCATACTTGTTTTGCTGACCTTATCTTCCCCTGCCAAACTCTTCTTTCTTAACTAATGACATGAGAATTCAATGCAAATCTTTCTTACATGGAATTATTTTTCAGCTTGAAGAAATGCAGCAGTTGAGAAGTTGTAATAGACAACTACAGATTGACATTGACTGCTTAACCAAAGAAATTGATCTTTTACAAGCCCGAGGTAAAGTTCAGTGCATACTCAGCTGAAATTAATTGAATTAATCCACCAGCTCTTCCTGTGGCTGAATACAAACTTATCAGTCATAATCTTACTGTCTCAGGATTTTTGGCTTTGAAGCCAAATAGTACTAAAGAACTATCTCCTCCCCACCACCACCACAATTAACTATATATACTTAGATCAAGCATAACTTGACATATTTTGTATATCCTTCATATCCATTTTTATCACTTGTTAAGGGACAACAGCAATTAGTATGTCTAGCTGCATAGTCAGATAGATTGCTTTTATGTGCGTAGAACTTTCTGCACAGTATTTACTAATACAGATGTATTCATATAACTTTTCCTTTTTTCCTCTTACATTTCAAGAATTGTGGCCCCATATCTCAATGGCATTGTTCTAATTGATAAAATAGAGAAGAAAACAGAAGTATGGTTACTTGCTGTTTGGACAGTGATGAGTTTTTGTATTTATTTGTTTATTTGTTTATTTTTGGTACCGGGAATCGAACTCAGGACCTTGTATTTGCCAGGCAGGCACTTGTGCTGCTGAGCTATATCCCCAGCCCCAGGTTTTTATATTTAAACTGTTAGTAACAAGCAATAATATCTCACTGTACTAAAAAAAAATTTGTAGTTTTATTCAGTTCCTTAGAAAACTAAAAGGAATTTTTATTATCTAACTGTAATTCTGAAGTTGGAAAATGTTAGAAATATAAAGTAAAAAAGACAGGAAAAAGAAGGAAATGAATAAAAAAGGAAGTCCTGAATCACACTTTTGAGTGTGTTCTAGCATACAATAAAGTGAATTTTATTTAAATTTCTTTTAAAATGTTGGTAAGCTATTTATCTCAAAACCTTCACAGAAATGCCGCAGTTTAAACTTTGGAGATAAAAGAAAATTACTGCTTTTCTAGAAACTATAGTCCTGAAGTGTAAAATCTAAATCAGTATATCACATTAGCACAAAGCTTTTATATTTCCTTGGGTTCAGGCTGTGTAGTTGCTTAAGTCCAGGTTTGATAGTTTCATATTAATTTTTAAATTGTGAAATTTTAAGTTAATTTGTCACATAGAAGAGGAGTCTGCTTCTAATTAATTCTTTCTTACCAGCATTAATACAACTTCTTCCCCGATTTACCATTTACTTCTGTTTATGAATACTACATTATACCTATATTTTGAAATATGTTTTTGAGATCTTACCTATAATTTGAGATTAGAGGTGAAATTGAAGAGCATTTCTTCTGTTTATACTGTAGTATTTTTAGAAAGAAATGCTTGCTTTTTTAAAAAAATATTTTGGAGCTATAAACATTGATATATTTACTTTTTATATATTTCAGGACCACATTTTAATCCCAGCGCTATTCATAACTTTTATGACAATATTGGATTTGTAGGTCCTGTGCCACCAAAACCCAAAGGTTAGTGTACCCATTAAGTGTGAAAACTGTTACATTTTTAAAAGCAAGATCTTAGAAAATTTTTATATTTAGCAAACTTCCACTCCAGAAGCACTTCAAACTCTGGCATTCTTAGATAGGTTCATTAGAAAGGTGTTTATTTTGATTTACGTGCTGGGGATTCGGGAGGATACAAAGGTATAATACATTCATCTTTCTAAAAGTAAAATGTGTAACCGTAGGAATGACTGTGTACTCCCAAAATCGTTTTGGTTTAAAAACAAAATCAAGGGCAAAAATCTGTTACTTAAAATTTTAGCCAAGTAATTCGGAAGATACTTTAGAAAAGTTTGTTTTTTGTGTGTATATACTGTTTTAATTTATATATAATTCTTAAGTAATCAAAATATGCTAAATTCCAAATCAATGGTATTCAAAAAGTATTACCTATTATCATTTTATGTCATTGATATTCTCAGCATATGTATACACCAGATTAAGACATGTCTAAATACGTGTGTTTTGAGCAAGGCATTAAAATATGTATAGAAGCAGAATCAAGTGTGTAAATCTGACTAGTGAAAGTAACTATAGAGGTGCAGGTTAATGTATGTAGCACTGTAACCAGGGTATTTAATTTACTTCTAACTGGAGGGTTAAACTATAAAACACTGTTAATGGACATATAGTCCAAATGTGGCAGGCTGGGGGGTGGTGACAATGTATGCAGTTGAAGTTAAATTGTTATCAACCTAAAATAGGATATAGCTAAAAGATACCTTATGGAAGCCTTAAGCTAACCACACACACACACAAAAAAAAAAAAACCATAAGAACACAGAAGATACAGGAACTAATCAAAATAAATCACTATTTTAAAAAGTCATATCCAGGTGTGGTGGAACATATCTGTAATCCTAGCACTCTGCAAAACTAAGGCAGGAAGATCACAAGTTCAAACCCATCCTGGGCAACTTAGTGATTTAGTGAAACCCTGTTTGAAAATTTTAAACTAAAATGAAAAGGGCTGGGCATATAGTCCAGTGTGAAGGCCCTGGGTTCAATCCTCAGTACCACAAAAAGAAAACAAACCGTCCCATGACAGAGGAAGACGAGGAAAAAAAGAGTGAGAAAACTGCCACATACACTGGAAACAACAAGATGGAAATGTCTTCACTGAAAGATACTTGCTTTAAGTGTAAATGGATTAAACTCACCAGTCAAAAGGCATACAGTATATATGCTTTCTAAATGAAACTCTTTTGAGGGGATGGGGGACAAGGTATCACTATGCAGTTCAGGCTTTGAACTCGCTATGTAGCCAAGACTAACCTCAAACTTGCAGTGCTCCTCCTGCCTCAGCCTCCTGAGTACTGGATTACAGATGTGCACCACCACGCCAAGTTTAAATGAGAATCATTTTAAAGACATAGGCTGAAAGCTGAAGGGATGAAAAAGATATTTCATGTAAATGGTTAGCTAGAATTATGAATGGCTATAATTTTATATGACGGTAGATTTTTATGTTTTTGTCCTTGTAGTTGGTGTTTTGCTATTTTTTTATTATTCACTTTAAAATAAAAAGAATAGATTTTTAAATCTAAGCATATATATGAAAAAAGGTCACTAGGAAGACACAAATATACACAGAACTGTCTACCCAACAACAAAGGAATGTATATGCTTCTCAGGTACATGTGAAACATTCTCTAGGGCAGATCTTATGTTCACAAAACAATTCTTAACAAATTTAAAATGATCTAGATCATTCCGAAAATCTATTTTGACCATAGTGGAGTGAGCTAGAAATCAGTATAACAAAAAAACCAGAAAAATGAATGGAAACTAACAACAGTTTTGAATATCCATTGGGTGTTTGAGTAAATGATAAAGGAATTTTAAAGTATCTTTTGAAAAACAAATAACATTCTAAAGTCTATGAAATGCAGTAAATGCAATACAAAAAGGTAAGTTTATAAAGATAAATGTCTGTATTTTAAAAAAAGAACTACTCAAATAACCTAACTTTATACCTTAAGGAGTTACAGCAATTAAACTAAACCCAAAATTAATAGGAAAGGACATAATAAAGAATTGAGCAAAAGTAAGTCAGAGCCAGGTTGAGTCTCTCATGCCTCTAATCCTAGCACTCGGGGAGGCTGAGGCAGGAGGATTGCTGTGAGTTCAAGGCCAGCCTGAACTGCATAGTGAGAACCTGTCTCAAAAAAGGAAAAAAGAAATTAGATAGATAATTTTTAAACAATAGAAAAGTCAACAAAACTGAGGTGTTTTTTTTTTAAAGATAGACAAACCCTTATAAAAACAAGTTTCACAGATAATCAGAACTGAAAGAGAAGACATGACACTAGATGCCTCAAAAATAAAGGAATCAAGAAAAACTAATAGGAACAATTGTATGCCCCAAAAAGTGAACAACACAGAAGAAATGGATAAATTCTTGGAATCGTACAATCTGTCAAGACTCAGTCAAGAAGAAATAGAAAGCTCAAATGTATCAGTAATAAAGAAGATTGAATCAGTAATCAAACGTCCCAACAAAGAAAAATCTAGGACCAGATGGCTTCATAAATGAATTCTGCCAAAAATTCAAAAACAATTAATTCAGTCCTTACTGTTTTCCAAAAAGGAAGAGAAGGAACACTTCCAAACTCATTCTGTAAGGCCAGCGTTACTTTGCAACCAAAACCAGACAGATAGTAGAAGTAGGAAAAACAGAAGTACTAACAAACAAAAACTGAGTAGCACACAAAAAAGATGGTTCACTATGACCAAGTGGGATTTATCCCAAGGAGGCAAGAATAGTTCAGTGTATGTGGATCAGTCAGTATGGTTAAACAAACTGGGAAAAAAAATGTGATTATTTCAACAGATACATAAAAACATTTTGATGAAATTCAGCATCTATTCATGGTTAAAAGTTAAAACTGTCAACAAAATAGGAATAGATGGAACTAACATCAACATAATAAAGGCCACAAACCAAAACCACAGAGGTAATATCATAGTCAATGACAAGGAACTGAAAACTCTCCCTCTAAAATCTGGCACAAGGTGGGGATGGCCAGGGAGTACTGAGCAGCGCATGTGCAGCCTTTTTTGTAATTACTGTTTTGAGTCAGATTCACTAAGTTGCTCAGGCTGTTTGAACTTATATCCCCCATGCCTCAGGCTCGTGAGTAGTCTTCTGTAGTACAAAGACCAGTCGGGCATGGTAGTGCACACCTGTCACCCCAGCACTCTAGAGGCTGAGCCAGGAGGATTGCTGCGAGTTTGGGGCCATCCTAGGGTACATAGTGAGTGCAAGGCCAGCCTGAACTACATAGCAAGACCCTATCTCAAGAAAAAAGAAAAATTAACATAGTACAGAGTGCTAGCCAAAGGAATTAAACAAGAAAAAAAGACTCAAGACATTCAGATCACAAAAGAGGAAATAAAATGCTATTTACAAAGACACAGTTGCGTAGTAGACATTCCTCTGCAGTTTTGCTTTGCTTGTTATTAATTATCTGTAATCAACTACAATCTGAAAATAGTAAATGGAAAATTCCAGAAATTAGTTACAAGTTTTAAATAACTTTTTTACAGTATATGTATTGTTTTATTGTTGTTAATCTCCTACAGTGCCTAGTATATAAATTAAATTTTATCATAGATATGTATGCAAAGGAAAAATCATAGTATATATAGGGCTTAGTACTATCTTAGTTACTTTTCTCATGGCTGAGACAAAATACCCTACACCCAAAGTTGAAAGAGGAAGGGTTTATTTAGCTCACAGTTTGTAGAGGTTTCAGTCCATAATCACCTGGCTCTAAGCCAGGGTGCAACATGGCCGAAGGGCAGCTGTTCATAGTGGCAGAAGACGGCAAAAGCAATAAGAGAGCAAGCAAGAGCAGCAAGCCTGTCTGTCCATTATATCATATCCGGTCTACCAGGATTAGGGCAGTGCTGATCCAATCAGTGGATTGAGCCAACAGTCGCCCATCCTTAATCCCAGCACCCTTAATCCCAGCACTGCACAACCAATCACTCTCTCTATATCCAGCCACCTCCAAAAAACCCTGTGACATGAGACTTTTAGGGTACATCTAGACACAAACCATAACAAGTACAATCTGTAGAGTTTCACTAGGGGTCTTAACAGTGATTCCCCTATTAACAAAGGAAGACTGCTGTCTATATAGAAAACGTTAAAGATTCAAAAAGAGAAAAAAACTGTTAAAACTAATAAAAGAACTTAGTAAAGTTGGAAAATAAAAAATCACTATACAAAACCAATTGTTTCTGTATGCAGGGAGCTAAACAAAAAGGAAATCAAGACCAAGAAAAACGTTCCATTTACAACAAAAAGAATAAAATACTTCAGAATTAACTTAACCAAAGAGGTGGAAGGCTTATACATAAAAATTATAAAACATTGATGAAAGAAATTAACAAAGATTAATGAAAACAATTCTGTGTTCCCAGACTGGAGAAGTCAATATGAGTCAAATGTCCATATGACTCAAGTGATCTACACAGCCTATGCAGTCACTATCAAGGTCTCAGTGGCATTCTTTATAGAAAGAGAAACAAAACCCAAAATTCAAATGAAGCCATAAAAGACCCAAATAACCAAAAAACAAAGATAGAGACATCACAGTCCCTTATTTCAAAATACATTACAAAGCCACAGTAATTAAAACAGTGTGATACCAGCATAAAAGTAAATATGGTTTAAAGAGCCAGAAATAAATGTGTAAATTTATAGTCAACTTATCATTGAGCAAGGTGCCAAGATCACAATAGGGAAATGACAGTTTCCTTAATGATATTGGGAAAGTTGACTATCTACATGGACACAAATGAAATAGAATCCTTATTACCTCACACCATATACAAAAATCATTTCAAAAAGGGTTAAAGACTTAAACATATAAAACATGAAAACATAAAATTAGAAGAAAGCATCAGATGAAACAACCTTGACACTGTTCTGGTCAGTGGCTTTTTGGATATGGCAACAAGAGCAAAAATAGACAAGTGGGCTTGCGTCAAACTAAGAAGCTTCTGCACAACAAAGGGAACATTTGACAGAGTAAAAGGCTGCCTACTGTTCTTTCTCTTCCACCACACTAGATGTGATTTTTAAAATAAAGTTTTTACACTGATTGACTTCTTCAGGGTCTATTGTTAATATATAGTTAAAACTTTAGAAATTACTTTTCTTTTTTGTGTTCTTTTTTAAGGATTTATGTTTTTAGAAAAGAACATTTAATGGAAACTTCATTCCTAGTTTAAAAAAACGAAAATTAAACACTACTTTTGTGGGAAATAAAACTCTTAAGACTTAAGTATACTTGCAGTATTGTTTTTCAGTAAGACACCTTTTCACAATCTTAAATAACATAGAAATGTTCACAATTCAATACCCTCTCTTCTGCTATAAGGCAGAGGTGATGGAGACAGTGGCGTCATTTCCTCCCTGAAGCAGGGCTGAAAGCGATTCTCTCACGCCTTGCTTGCTCTTCCCCAGAGATAAGGCTTGGTGGAGGTTGGTAATGGTCAAGCATGTGTGTCGGTTTCAGCTAGTTGCTTCCTTTGTTAACAGGGTGCTTTATGCTACATAGTACAAATGGTATTTAGAGTTACCAGTGATTTGTCATACTTAATGATTTTTACTTCTAAAATATTTTTGTTATTTCCTTACAGATCAAAGGTCCACTGTCAAAACACCAAAGACTCAAGACACAGAAGATGATGAGGGGGCTCAGTGGAATTGCACTGCCTGTACTTTTTTGAACCATCCAGCCTTAATCCGCTGTGAACAATGTGAAATGCCGCGGCATTTCTGAGCCAGAAACCCCTATGTCTTCGCTTAAACCACATCTAAAGTTCAAGAAATCAATCTGTCATCGGGGAAAAGTTTCACTGCTACATAGGATTCTGTCAGATTGAAGGTGTGACAAGATGGTGTTGTGCTAATGTTAAGTGTCAGCCCACAGAGCTAATAATACCTCAGTATAATGTCATGGGCAGTTGAAATTCATCACATGAAAGGTAATCTGCTGAAAGACTTGGTTGCCTGCTGCCTAACCATGTACAGTGTTACCATTATCCCGTTATGGATAATTCTCACTATGTTAATGCTTAGGTGTTCCCAGTACTCTTTTCCCCTCCTGTCACTACTGAATTTTGACAGGAGGAAAGAATAGGACAGTAGCTTTTTTTTTTTTTTAAAGCTTTCAGTGAAACACTACATACACAAAAAGAAGGAACAAGGTATAACTATTTAAAAACTGTTTGCCTCTACAAAGTGCCAATGGATAGGGGAAGAACTTCACAAATCTGTGGTACTCTTGGCCTTGTCTTTGTCTTCCCTGAAAATGTCTCTGTGAAGCCAGCATCTAGGACCTGAAGATAAAAGGCAAGCAGCATACATTGTTTATACAAACATACAGTGAAATACCCCAAAGCTTTTCCTACTGTACAGATCTCTCAAGTCTGCTTTAAGTGATTTCTTTATTATTTTCTTGTATTTCTGTATGTATAGTGTAATAGCCTTTGTTAACTAATTTTCTTTTTTCCTTTTAGTGATTAAGCACGATCATGTCCCTTTTTAAGCCTTACCTGAAAGAAACAATGCCATAAAAGTAAAAAAGCATTAATGAAATGAAACTATGCACAGAATAACTATCCTCTACTTATTCTGTACTTTGCCCTCATGGGTGCCAGTGTTCTGTGAAGATACACAAATGCTGCACAGTGAATTGCAGAAAATATTACAAGAATTATGTGGGTAGATCATACTATAGACTGACTTGAGCAGTGGGTGGCACAACACAGTGTCTTGTCTTCCATAGGGAAGCTCAGAAGATACTTTAACCCACTGACAGAGCTTGCTTCATCTGCTTGGTGTCCCACACAGTTTTCACAAGAGATTATTTTGAGGAAAGTACAGTTTCAAAACCAGCAACATCGGCAGTACCGACAGCCCTTTTTTTGGAAAGAAGTTTAAATGCTTTACTGTTGGGACAATCTGTTTCTAAACCTGACTTGGTGGCAGTATCGTGTATTTATAAAACAAAGCTAGTCATATTTAGGACAACTGAAGAAAAGCTGGAAAAAAAAAGAAAAACAAGCAAACTTGAACACTGAAGCAACCTCAAGCATCTCTTTATGTTGATGATATATTTTTATAAAGAAAATAAATATTCAGATGATCAGGAATGTATATAACTAAATGAAATCAAGAAAAAATAACAGTATGCATTTAAAAAGAATTATGAAATTGTATAGCAGTGCTTAGAATGGGGCTAAGGGAAGTGCTGAAATACAGCAGAAGGTAGGAAGTAATGTAGACTGTCACCACTGTAAATGTATGCAAGTGGCTGTGTTTTAAATAAACAGGATTACTACAGGTGATCTCTGAATGTCAAAGCCTTGGCTTCCAGGCTTTGCATTATGTATATGAAAAGAAATATGACAATCCTAGGTGATTAGACAAACCCAAAGCCCTTATATTTGATACATTTTGTTTTAAAAATAGACCTTGTTTTTCAGCTTCATCTGCAGTTCTATGTGAAGATTGATAAATCAGTTTTTACTTGTTTTATTAATAAAATGTAATTTGGATATCTTGAGTTGATGGTTTTGTGATTTAGCTGGGTAAACTATCTTTGTAACAGATAAGTTATTTATAAAAATTAAAAAACTTATATGCTAATGTGAATTTTGTGGCTTGTTTTTAAAGTTTGTAGAGCAGGAAATAACTTGTACCCCAGCAGAACATTTGATTGTTAATTGGTTCAGGCAAAAAAATCATTCTCTAGAGTCTTTTCATGACATCATAGCATAAAACTGCTTTTCTTCAATTATTCTTAGCAGTTTGCCCAAGTTTCATTCTAAAAGAAGTAACTAGATTTTAACTGAACCAAAACAATATATATTGCTTTTATTTCATAGTGTTTTACAGCCTTCCATTTCTTTTTAAATTTTGAAAAATTTTGCCCCATTATTGCAAACAAATGTGATTTCTTAGACTATTTAGCCTAGGTAGCCATGAGTTACTGTTCACTCTCCCCTGGGTTGTATAGTTGCTGGGCGTGGTGGTGCTTCTCTTGAAGAGGACTTTCATATTCATGGTTTTCAGAAAATATGGCTCAGCATTTTTCTGAGCTTGAAAAGAATAAAATACCATTTGCTGACCTCTGTGATTTAGCTATAAAAAGACCTGCTTTGAGTTGTCTTTTAAAATTACTAATAAAAAGATATTCTTTGCCATGGAGTATGAGGTGTGCATGGACATATTGGTGGTCAGGAGCCTACCTCTGGTAATTACAATAACAAAACAATGACACATCCAAGAATCTCACAGAAAGATGAACCTTTAAGTGTTTCTTGTCACTCATTTTTCTTAGGTGCTAACATTCTTGGTGTTCAAAGGGATGGGGTAGTTGTCTGTTCATGTGAAATTGGATTTTGCAGGAAAACTTCCATTAGAATGTCAACTAGTAACCTTCATCATAAGTAATATACAGAGATGCTATTCCAAGTTTTTTATGAGCAAAATAATGAAATTTTCTTTTAAGGTCTCCATTTTTCTAAGTGACCAACCAGAATCAGTCTATAGCCTAAAATTAACTTTATTTGGGGAATTGAAATCATGCTGAAAATTATATTAATAGAGTCAAAAACTACAGTAGCATCAGTGCATTTATAAATAACACAACTAACGTTTCATCCATTTCCTCTATTCCAGTTTAATGTTGATAGCAAATTCTGGGAACAATGATAGGTTAAAGAGGTGAGCAGCATAAGATACAACATTCAATCTGAATGAAGTTGACTTTGTTACCCTAGAGTAATACTAAATCTGTTGGCACCAAAGGGCATACCAGGTTTAACATCTGTATGCTGGGTATTAGCATAGTTCTTATTTAATATTGCAAAATACTATATGACAAGTGTACATACAGTACTTTTGAATCCAGTTTTTTCAAGGTACAATTTTATGTCCATTTTACTTGAAGATGGAGTGACTCCACTGCATTTAAATTTTTATTGCTTCCATTTGAAAATACAATTAGGCAATGGAAAGAAAAGTCCCTTCTAAACAAAACACATTTTTTTAGCTTGGTATTTGTTAAATTAGGTCTTTCCTCCCTAGTGTGTATAATAGACTGATTTGGGGAGTTAAACCCACCTCACAGGTTGTGAAGATTAGAGTGAAATGCTGAGTCAGCGCCTCTCTGTATTAACCTGAAACAGTGAGTCATGGTTTTGTATGAACAAGTTTTGAGGCATTTTTCTCTCTGTAGTATTAATTAACAGGTAAGTTTGCTATTTATTTTTCTGAATTGTTCCAGGAACATCTCCATGGAATAGAATTTGGTGTTTCAATCACTAATAGCTGAATTTTTCCCCTTTTTAATGTCCAAGGTGGGTTGTTTTGTAAAGATTATAAAAATGTCGAAGATTTACCAGAAGATGAGTATGTTTATATTTCTGTTGTTTATCCAGCTATCTGAAGAATGTACATTTTATGACAGAGTATAACAAGTTATTTCTCCAGGAAAATAAATGTCTTCTGGGAAGGACCTTAATCCAATGTTTGCACATCTGCATGTTTGTGTTAAGTCTAAATTGACCCAAAGTTACTGACTTCCTCTTTCAGATCATGTTCCTCCAGCTATGCCATAGTACAGTACAGAACCATTGTAATACCTGATCTTTGTTCCAGAACTATAACTGATCCCCCCGGCACAGTAAACAACTACTTCTAGTATCTTCACTTCGGAAAAAAAAATTTTTTTAAATAAAATTTAACCGCCTTTGAGGCCAACTATTGGTTCTTGGTAGGCCCGTTCCTGGTTACATTGACTGATCCCCATACTTCCAGGTTTTTTAAACTCTTTCTTGCCCATTGCAGCAATGTTATAATATTACAGAGAGAACACCACATTCACCCTCTCTTGTCCAGAAATCTTTTTTGCTCCTCCATTGTTTACTGAGCTTGCCTTATGTACCTCTTTAGGACTGTTACTTTCCAACAGAATACTTAGAACTAAATTGGCCTAATCACTTCCCTTTATAGGCCTTGCATATCCCCACCATTGTACTTTGTTCACCCCATTGGCCCTGTCTCCTTAAATCTAATTTCTCAAGGATCCAGTTAAAGGTCAAGATCATGAGGCCATCCCAAACCACCTTCTCTGATAGCGTTTGTGATGTTTTCTGCCCACCTAACATACCTTGCTGTTTTGGCACACACGTGCATCCTGACAAGGTAGGTGTTGTACTCACGCCCCTACAGTAAATACTCATGCATAGTAAGAGGTCACTAATCAGTGGTGATAATGACTTTTGTAATTTCTAACATTTATTCAAGTTGACCAAGGGATATAGCCAGTTTGAGCTTCATGTATGTTTTCTCATAGGGCCAATATTACAAATGACAGATTCCAGGCTAGAGGACTAATTACACTGTTTTGCATTTGAAATACTGAAAGCACAGTACTCTTGGGATACATAAATGTAACTACTGAGAAATAATGTTTCATAATGTTTCATTGTCATAGTGCCTTAGAGAAGTAGATACTTGTGAATATTCTGGAAAATTCAGAAATTGACAATGCAAATTGAGGTCCCTGATTCTGTTAGGTCTGGTTGTCTTCAGTGCTTACATTTGTCTTTTCTTGGATACAAGTGTTGGAATGGTTTATTTTTGGACATGATTTGAGGATATTTTTTCTTTTATTGTCATTGTTTTACTCAAACTGAAGCAGAGAGGGAGGTGGGGGAAGTTTTTACAAAGAGGAAAAAGGAATTTGAATGCAAAGTGTCTGGAGCCTTGTCTTCCTCTTTCCCAAGAAAAGTGGAAAAGCAGGCTCTGAACAAGTCTGTACATTTAGGGACTGCTTGTAAGTTGGGTCCACATAATCAAGACAGTACCAGCAATGGTGACATGAAGTAAGCCTACATTTTATTATATGAGTTGGCTTGAAGTCAATTATTACCTTCTAATAAAAGTCTTTTACCTGACCTTTCACTGAAGTGCCAGACTCCTTTAGTAACAGCAGCATGTACAGCAGAGACTAATTTACTAATCCAGACATCCAAACTCTGCTAAGCTAATGGGAAGCAATCTGTGCAATTTTGTTCCAGTTGATGATAGTTTTTGTTATGATCTCATAGTATCCCAAAATGTAACATCCTAATATCAAAAGGCTAAACAAAATTCTTAAGACAGGTTTGTTGTATTATTCTATTAACTACAATCTGCATTTCTTCTGTTCTCAGTCATTAACACAAGTAAATGTAGCTGGCTTTGCATTTCAGTAACACAAGGCTCCTAGATTCTAAGTAATCAGCGGTGTTTTCTGAAAACCTTAGACTAGCCGTCCTTTCATCCCTGAGCATCAGTATGTGTTGTGACATCTAAACTCCACTTTGTATGGTGCAAAACTGGTGAAACCTGCTGTGGAGTTGTCAGGCTTTCATTTTCGTAGCATTCATCCATCCATAAACAAAAAGGTCTGTTAGTGTAGTGACTCTCGTTGATTATTTTCTGTTTTCTACAAGCATGAGACTGAGGATCTAAGGGGGAAATCCCTTTCGTTGTCAAAGAATAATTTAGTAACATTTTAGCGTTCTCTAGAGAGAATAACTTCTTTCTTCCCTCTTATAATCTGTTCTCCATTCTTTGGAGGCCAGCTTCCTCTCCCTCATTTTGTAAATTAAGATTTCATGTTAAATGAGACCTTGGGCACCGCAATTATCCTTGAAGAAGCACTGCTGCTTATTTTTCTGGAACTTGCAGGTGATATGTTTTGACTCCAAGCTAGGAGTGTGTCAGAGTTCTTCTACCATTGCGTTCATCAAATAGTGATGTGCCTGGGCATTCAGAGGGATGTCATGAATTCCTGTTGACTTTCCATTTGTGCTATGAAGTCACTCTTTTGGGTTTTTGCTTTTTTAATCTTTTTATTGGTGCTTTTACTTTATGCTATTTTTACAGGATTATTTTTCTAATAGCTTAGACCATTTAATTTGTCTTTTAGTGTGAACATTGCACCCTAAATCAGCTCCTATCAACACACCTGACACCAACTCACTAGGTTTATGTGAACAGTATTGGTGGTTGTAGCCTGAGGAGCAACTGTAATTTGGTCCTGCAGTCAGTGCAGACCAGCTCTGCCCTGAACAAGTCTTGTACTAGGATACTTATCTAAGTGATCCAGGCTACATTTGCTTAGAACGTGAAGTAGAAATAGCCCTCACACTTGCCACTATTTTTCAAAGACACATTGACTCAGCAAGATTTACGTAAGCAATTAGATAGCTGTGTAGGGTTTTAAATACAATTCATCCTGCGGGTACTTACCGTGTTAGGTACTGTTCTAAATGCCTCATAAATATTAACTCATGAAATCCCCATAACAACCCAAAGAGGTGGATGATACCTATCCCTGTGTTTATAGGCAAGGAGAGGTCAAATACCTTGTCCAAGGTCACATAGCTGATTAGGGTCAGCGCCAGAATTCAAAATCACATCAAGTTCCAGTCGTGCATCTAAGCACTACAGAGCGCTGTCTGAAGACCCTCGGAGGGAACTACCAACTGACTTTTATTCCCTTCTGTTTTAGAGACATCTCTGATTGTCAACTCTTAGATCTCCAGAATCAGTTTTTCATATTGTGACTTTTGTTACTTTATCCTTTGCCCTACCCC